TTTGGGCCATTTTCTACTCGTTTCAATTTAGCCGAGGTCGACCTATGAAGGCAAAAGTGCGAGTATGTCCATTGTCTTTGAATTCGTGCGAAACTAACACTGGTCGACCTCTTCTAATTATGAGGTCGACCGGACCTTTTTGCACTCAATTGGTACATCATTTGGGCCATTTTATACTCGTTTCAATTTAGCCGAGGTCGACCTATGATGGTTCTGAGGTCGACCTATGAAGGCAAAAGTGCGAGTTATTGTCCCATTGTCTTTGAATTCGTGCGAAACTAAAACTGGTCGACCTCTTCTAATTATGAGGTCGACCGGATCTGTTTTGCACTCAATTGGTACCATCATTTGGGCCATTTTGTACTCGTTTCAATTTAGCCGAGGTCGACCTATGATGGTTCTGAGGTCGACCTATGAAGGCAAAAGTGCGAGTTATTGTCCCTTGTCTTTGAATTTGTGCGAAACTAAACTGGTCGACCTCTTCTAATTATGAGGTCGACCGGATCTGTTTTGCACTCAATTGGTACCATCATTTGGGCCATTTTGTACTCGTTTCAATTTAGCCGAGGTCGACCTATGATGGTTCTGAGGTCGACCTATGAAAGCAATTTTGTACTTGAATTGTTACGGGTTTATATCGACCCATTCTCGTTTTAAATTAGCTGAGGTCGACCTATGCTTCTTCTGAGGTCGACCGGTTCTCGTTTTAAACTAACTGAGGTCGACCTGTGATTCTTCTGAGGTCGACCCATTGTCGTTTTAAATTAATTGTGGTCGACCGCTTTATGGAGTGGTCGACCGCGTATTGTTCATTTCGAAAATTGGACTAATGTGTATTCTTGCTTGTTTGATCGCAGGATGTTTGGCGGCAGAAAGAAAAGAAAGGCACAAAAAGCTGCTGCCTCAAGTTCGGAATGGGAAGTTCAATCCCAATTGTTCCAGACGAAGGAGCAAAGTGAGAACTACGAAGAGAAGAGCATGCACAACCGCAGGGTGGCTCCGGGAAGGCCATTGACGACGGATGCGTATTCTCATTTCGAGAATTACGGGTTTCTAGGACCCTTCATCGACCAGGAGTGGCTGAAGGTCATATCACTCAATGTACCATACTACCCAAAAATGGTACAATACTTCTACAACAACATCGTCTACGAGCGCAATGCAAATGGATCCATTCACGCATTCAAATCCTATGTGAATGGGGTGGCGATGCGCATCAGCAAGAATGTGTTGGCGCAAGTACTGGAGGCTCCAAACGATGGGAGGAGAATCAATTCTTACGGTGCTTGGAATGAAACGCATTTCACGAGAGCCAAGCAAATCCAGACGGTATGTGGTCTTGATGAAGAGGAAGATGCTCAGGGGCGCAATAGGCCATCGAGTAACCACCTGACAGTTCAAGCCAGAGTTCTTCACCACATGCTCTCCTACAACATTCTGCCAAAGGGTGGACATCGGGAGACAGTCACCTACTTCGACATGGAGCTCCTCACCAACCTACTGTTAAACGAGAAGGTGAACTTGCCATACTTGATCTTTAACCACATGCTTACTGCTACAGAGAGTTCAAACAGGAATCTTCCCTATGGGATGATCCTCACTATGATATTTGAGCATTTTAATGTGAATTTAAGTGAAGAGGTGGGGTTAAGGATCTCAAGGCAGGAGTTCTATACTGTTTCATCTCTGAAAAAGATGGGTTTTGAGCTGCGTAATGGTGAGTATGTCAGAGCAAACATGGCTCATGGTGGTGCTGGTGGATGATGATGATGATGAGGATGATGATGGTGATGAAGGAGCTCGAGACGAGCCAATGGGGAGGCACAGACTTCAACTCCACCGATCACCTTACAGCGTGTGTGGGAGCGCATGGATGGCATGTACGAGTACATGGGCCAGATGTCCACCCAGATGACTGGCATGTACGACTACATGGGGCAAATGACCGCCCAGATGAGCACAATGCAGGTGACCGTGAATGAGATGCGAGATGAGTGGCGATCTTTCAGCGGAAGATACATGCATCCCACCACATCCCACCATCATGCTACCACCACCAATGAAGAAAATGTGGATGAGGGAGAGGGGGAGATGAGTAGGAGAGAGGAGATTTTATATTGTGTTTTAGTTTTCAAAACGATTGTTGATTGTTATTCTGTTGTTTTTTTAGTTTTATTTTTATGTGTGAACAATTATGCTATGATGGTTTTTTTAGTTTTATTTTTATGTGTGAACAATTATGCTATTTTTATGTGTGTTTTATTTTTAGTTGTTATGCTATGAATTGATGAGTCCTTGTTATAATTATTAATGACTAATTATGATGGTTTGAAACATAATTTATACGATTAAATTAACCACACAAATCGACATACATAAGCAAAAAAGACACGGGGCATAGGTTGACTTTCTTGTATTCGGTCGACCTCGTACCGGATTAGGTCGACCGAGAAACCAACACTTGATCTCATTTTACGTCAAATGATTGGACACTTTGATAGAACACTTATCTTCTATCTGGTCGACCTCTTTCCTTATCCGGTCGACCATTTTGTTAATGACTGCCATCAAGTGGTCGACCTATATATTAGGTGGTCGACCATGTTGTTTCTGACGCCAACGAAATGGCCGACCGAGGTTTTTATTCTGGTCGACCAAAAATACCAACTCAAACTAAATGCGGTCGACCAGGTGGTCGTGGCGGTCGACCGCAACGCTTTCTCGTGCCCCAAATTAGTCAATTCGGTCGACCGCCCTCAGGAATAGGTCGACCGAAAAGTGCATGTCACCGTGACATGCATGTCATAGTAGGCATACCCAATCTTATATTGATCAGAAAAAAGGCAGTTACATCCTGGAATTGAGTCAGACCACAAATCAAAGAACCGACTTGCAGACTAATGGACTTATACATTTTTGCAAGTTGCCGGAGGTAGTCTACCGAAGAGATTTCGTCGAAAAAAGTCTGTCAAAAGGATTTAATCGGAGAAAAGCCTCGGTCGAAGCGGAGTGACTACCGAAAAAGGAAGAGAAATATATAAATGTATTTATTGTAGGATTTAATTTTCAAAAAAGAAAAGCATGTATTTATTTGGATTTTAAATTCCAATGTGCAATTTACAAAAAAATAATTAATAAATTCTTATTTTGTCATACCCCAAATTGCCCTTGGTTGTGAAACTCAGCCCCTTAGAAGAAGTGACGCTATCCAACCTCGTTTAAACTACATACAAATGTTTATGAAAAGAGCTGAATTTAAGGAGGATCTCTTTCACTTTTCTCTTTAGGATGATAGACCGCTTGGAGGTTTGGATTTCAAGTGATCTATTTAGCCAATACATTATGTTAAGATTAAGTATTTTTTTGGTTAAATTTATAACAGAATCATGTATTACTTTTTTCTGAACCCACGTACAATCACTCAAATGCGTGATTATGAATCTCTACCAAAGGTGAGATTGTGAACAATGGCTTGCCTACCTCTACTTTTTTATTTATAACAAAACACAATCTAACCGCCAACGAAGTATTTTTCAATTCATACATTTCATCAATACATCAAATTACAAAACATAAATTGATTAAGGGGTCGTTTGAAGTTGCGATTGTTAAATAGATGTATTGTTGAGAATGCATGTATAATATTATACATGTATTGTCGAATTTGATGCATTGTAGAATACAACGTTTATTGTGATTGTGTATGTCGCATCAGCTAAAAGCTGAGACAAAACAATCTCAACTCACTATCTCAACAATCACAACTAAAAGTTGAGATATAACAATCACTCAAAATGAGTGATAGTTTCTGTCACATCACAGAAACAATCCATGTATTGTTTCTGCTAAAAAAACAAAAAACGATGCATTGTAACAATACATGCATAATGACAATCTCCAAAAAACAATCGCAACTCCAAACGACCCTAATACATCAATGTGGAGAATCCCAACTTCCAAACGACCCTAATTTAAAGTGCACCCAATTGACCAAGGATTACAATCTCTTTGGCAAGAGCATACTTTTTTCTCTGGTTAGAAAAAAACGATTGTAAAATACTTGCCAATCCGGTTTAGTTCATTGGCTTAGTCAAGCAAGTGAATTGAGGGTTAATGGTTCAATGATTTTAGCTTGAAATATATAAAATCATTATATTATTTAACATTTATAAATTATATCAATTTCATCTAACATATAACTAATAAGGATAAATACAATATATTAGCCACAACTATTATGAAGCGGGGAATTATAGCCACAACTATGAAAATTCAAATTATTAGCCATAACTATTATTGTGGGTCAAGATATGGCTAACTGTCCGTTACTGTTATTGAATTTTGACGAAGAAGCCACGTCATCGGCCACGGCAGCGGCCACGTCATAATGCTTTTAATTTATAACTTTAAAACATAAAAGTTTAGTCAGTATTACTAACGAAATTGTTAACAGATAGTTAACGTTTGGCTAATAATTTGAATTTCCATAGTTGTAGCTATAATTCCCCGCTTCATAATAGTTGTGGCTAATATATTGTATTTACCCAACTGATAACACAAAACATTGCACCAAAAAACATGTTCTACCTTGGATCCAACTATAGTGAAAATTCACACATTTATATAAACATCAATATTTAGATGTTCAAATTAGAATTCCAAAAATTGGGTTAGACAAAAGAAGAACCGAAAAATAGACGGATTTCAAAAAAATGACACAATTTAACGTCAAACATAATACCTTACAACAGTCGACATAACGAATTGGGACAATGTTGACCTTGAATATTTGTGAAAACGAATTCCACATGTAACTAGTTGTAACGGCAGACTGAAAGAGAAAAGAGACTACTTTTCCAGTCACCGGTCGCCGCGCCGGTTACAGAAAACGTAGTAGCTTTCAAAAGAGAAGAAAGAGACAACAGTCGCAGGTTCCTTGTGCAGTGAAGCAAATTCCTATTCCTTTCCAGTTCCAGGCGGATAGAATCGGGAAACGAACTATGTCACCTTCTTCTTCTTCACATGATATCGTACTCACCAGCTCACCGGAGGGACCCATCACCGCCTACAACGCCTCCACCGGAGCGTCCTTGCCCGCCTCACCGGCACCCGCTCCCCTCGCCGCGGCCCTCGCTCTAGTTCAAAACACTTACATCGCCGCCTCCCACATCTCCTCCTCCTCCACCCGCCGCCGTCCACCTCTACAATTGGTGGTCATCCACCGCCCTCCACCGCTCCCTCTCCCGGAACCCTTGCCCCTATCGCCCCTTCCCCCGACGGCTCATGCATCTTCGCCGGCGGCCTCTCGGGCAACATTCATTCGCTTTCTGTCCCCTCCGGTGACCTAATCGCTTCCTCCTTGCTCACCCTGGCTCCCCTGTTTCTTGCCTGGAAATTTCCCCTGATTGGTCGCTCCTCGTCTCAGGAGGAGACGACGGCAGAATCGCTGTTTTCCCAGTCTTCCAATTCCTTCAAAATACTCCCAAAGCGAAAAAGACAGTCAATGACAATGATTCGGAGCTTTACAGCCCATGATGGGCCTGTGACCGCCATTGTCCTCTGTATGGGTATCTCTCAGCCCACTGTGGTTTCCTGCTCAACTGATTCCACTTGCAAGCTCTGGAGTCTCCTGGAAGGGACGAACCTCAGGACGGTGGCGTTTCCGTGTCCAATTTCAGGAATTGCTTTGGACCCATCGGAGACAGATCTCTACGCTGCAGGTTCTGATGGTTCAGTTTACCATGGAGTTCTGAATATGAAAGCAGGAAACAAAGAAAGGCCAATTGATTACTGCATTGCCTGGAAAACACTGTGCTGCCGTTGTGTCGATCGCTCTGGTGAACGGCGGGAAGAGGCTGGTATCCCTCGGAAGACGGCAGTGTTCATATGAGGGAAGTAGAGACAGGGAGGTGTGATGACCTATGGGGAATAGTAAATCTAGAGAGCATAAGTGAGATGGTTGTTGCCAAGCGTGGGATCGTTGATGATGGCGGAAGAAGAAGGCATGGCTATGGCGGCTCTGCTCATTTGACTTCTGGGGTTGTGGTGGAAGCTCCTCTTCCTCGGATTGCCTGGGAAAGAGCTATGTGCACTGGGTATAAAAGAAGCAGGGGAACTTGAGAAAGTTATGAGCTCTGTAATGGAAGATAGAGGCAAGGCAATTAACATGCTGGAGTCTGCAATTGAAGTTTACGGGAGCCTATTGAAACTCATTCTGAAGGAAGCCAATAGAGGTACTAACAACAGCATGGAGGAAAGCCGAAGGATGGCACTGAACAATAATATATGAATTGGAAGCAAACAAACGTGGATTTATTACTCTTTTTCAGCCATAGCTGATATAAAGGAACGCAAAATGCTCAGCAAACGATACAACTAGAAGATAAATATAGCTCTCAGAGAAAACATTAGAACACTCAACTGGCAAAATATTTACAGTTCTAGAAACCAAGTGAACGCTTTTTAAGCAGGAGATGTATTTCGTTCAAAGAATGTAAGACTCCAGTCAATGAAGAAAACAAGCAGTTCCCCTTGGTGTATCTTTGAGGGACAGATGATCTATGCCTCAATAAACCATCTTCAGGGGTTCCGTTGGAATGGCCATTATCACTTATCAGGACATAGACGTGGCCCATCTTTTGTTTCTTGGTTTCCAGGTATCTCCGATTCTCTGCTGTGATTGGAGTAATCAATGGAACTCTTCCAGCAGCAACAGAGAGACCGTATCCTTTGAGGCCAATGTATTTTTTGGATTGTTCGTCATCAGCTTCATCGTGCGAACACCAAGATCTCGGAGTATCTGAAAACAACATGATGAGATGTTCAGCCGTTGCAAAGCATTAGACAATATACATATTATGATCTATAGCTTTCTGACTGCATGTTGGATGATTGTTAAGACTATATACCTGTGCACCAATGCCATATTCACGGGAATCCACTGGTAAACCGAGCTCTTCATTGGCTTCTACAGTATCACGGCCATCATCTTGGAGGTTGTAAGCACGAAGCTTATGGCCTAAACCATCCCTCTACCTTCATGTCACGGAGATAAACCAGAACACCCCTACCGGCTGCTTCAATCTGCTTCATAGCAAGTGCTAGCTGATTGCCGCAATCACATCTTGCAGAACCAAATATGTCGCCAGTCAGACACTCAGAGTGCACTCGAACAAGTATATCATTTCCCTCTCCGATTTCGCCCTGCATACAATAAAATAAACAGTTTGTCGTTGGTAGTTGGAATACAAGTATTGTATTACAAAGGACATGCTTATCATGCAGGTGCACTTTTGTCTTCGATAATGAAACAATCAAATATCTTTAACAGTTGGTTGACATTTTTCCATTGCAGACAAAGTATGGGATATCTCAAGAACACAAGTTCTCTACACATTTGTGTATCATGAAAGCCAGAGTGGAACTACAGAAACGTACAGCTTTTTTAACATTCCATCCACTGCATATAGCGAAAATATCATAATCGCATGAAAAAGATGCAACAGGTAGCTAACTACAGACATATTTTGAACTCGGTGTCTGCATCAATGTAAAGCAACATAGATTTGTGCAAACCGTTCGTCTGAAATCTGCATGTGTAATTAGCAAATGGAGCTTACTTTAACCATGGCAATGTGCTCAATCCCGTCAATCAACGACCTGTAGCAATAGGATTTGAAAGGCCCCCACATTGTAGTGTCCGAGCAGCAGCAGACAGCTCCACTAGTCTGTCCCTTTTCCTCCTGAATCTGCGGGCACAAACCAGAATTTTTCTTGGATTCAGAAACAAGAAGATTCAAAGATAAAGTTTGTATCATCATTACAAGCATTATACTTGACTTGACATATAAACGTTGATGAACAAGCACAACTGTGGTACCTGATAAGATCCGCTATAGAGACTATCTTTAGATTCTCTGCTTTTGCAACTCTCGCAGTCTGGGCAGTCTAGCCTGGAGCCATCGTCATCAACAATCTCGCACAAAACTGCAACAGGTTCCAGACCAGCAAGCATCGACAGATCAGCAGAAGCTTCTGTGTGACCAGCTCTCTTCAAAACTCCTCCCTCTCTATACTTGAGAGGGAATATATGACCCGGGCGATTGAAATCTTCTGCTTGGAGTCCTTAGACGCAAGAGCCAATAGTTGTTGCCTGTCACGAGCGGAAACCCAGTCGTTGTGCCAACTTTTGCATCCTAAACAATAGCCAAATCGCATGATGTAAGATGAATAGTTCACTTCTCTGCTACAAGTAGCCAGCAGCGCAAGCAACATGATAAAACTGCTACTTACAACTGACACTGTAAAAGCTGTGCAAAGCTTTTTCCTCATTTTCCTTAGTCGATACCATCAGAGGCAGTTGCAGCCTCTCTAAATCTTCATGTTTCATGCTCACACAGCTATCCCAGTTCCATGCTTGACAATGAACGCCATTGCTTCAGGTGTTGCCTTAGAAGCTGCCATGATTAGATCACCTTCATTCTCTCTATCTTCATCATCAACCACGATCACAAACTGCATGAACGACGTAAATATTATCACGAACTTCATTCTCTATATCGCTGAGTACCAAAATTCACAATAAGAAAAGAGTGCTACCAACCAACCTTGCCCTGGCGGATATCTTCAAGCATCAGGGATGGAACTAAACCCTTCAGTAGGACGATCCAGTCATATTCATCATTATCAGGGGAAAAACTAGTCCCGGTGGGAGTCATCTCCGCAGAGAGAGTTGCGAAATCTACCACATCAGGTTGCAACTCAATCCCAGAAAGCGAGTTCGTCACATTATCATGGCAAAGATATCTTGTGTATCCTTCCTGGGGAAAGCAAGAAGATCACCTTCCCAGAAATCACAGAGGCTCTACTAGTCATACCATTTCTGCTGCTTCTGCCCAACCCCTTGAAACCAGCAGCAAACAGTTTTCTAGCAGCAGCGGTGGAGGAGAGCACATTGTTACAGCTCCCATTCACTGCCAGCGGATGCAAGGAACTCTTACCTGGGTAGCCTCTGAAGACAGAAAAAAAAAATTAACATATACAAGTCATAAATTATGACAGGAGTGCGAACAAGGACATGCGCATCTAGGCTAAAACTGAGGGGCAACATCACCATCAAGCATGAAAATGAAAGCCTAAAAGACGGGGGGGAAAAAAACAGTAACGCGAGCAACAGGGGGAATTAAGCGCAGTAGATTGCATAAGGGTCGAATTGATACAATCCCATCAAAGATAAGACCTTTGAATCGATTTAGGGATGAGGGACAGCTAAACAACTGAAATCCAGAAACCCAGATGGAGAAAAGGAAGATACAGAAGGAAGTACTCACAGTGAAGGCGAGGGAGCCAACGGGGAACGGAGGAAATGAACGGAGAAGCCATCAACGCCTTGGGCTCTGGTTTCCAATTGATCGTGAAAGAGAAAGCAAAGCGTTACAGAGCTAAAAAGGGGAGGAAGAGTCAGATACGGAAGACAAAAAGGGAGACAATCCGATTTCCGGCGGCTGAGGACCGAGATTAGGAAAGAACGGTATGCCTTCTTGTAATGGAATTTAATATAATAATAAGTAATACGGAAGGTAGGAATGGGGGAAGAAATCGCCCCGAATGTACGCGCCAAACCGCCTATCCGCACCCAAGAATAAAACTGGGAAACAGGGACCAGAGTAGAAGAAGAAGAAGACGGTTTGGGTTTGTGGATCGGATGACGAATGTGGTGATTGCGATGAAGATGTTTCTGGTCTTTATATCGCTAAACCCAAACAAAGAAAATACCAAAATAAAAGGATCATCACGTGGCACGGATCTTGCTTGCCACCATAACCTACTGTTAATTGCATAGTTTGGTAGTTTAATTGAATTAATCAAAGTATTAATCGGGTTTCTAGTGTGGCAGTGGCGGGTGGAGTGGAATGAAGCAGGCCGTCCTTTAATCTCCACAGGCTGAATGATGACTCTTCCGACCACGGCGCCGCCTCCCGGCCCAGGGGCTGAACATTGCGATGTATCTATTACCTTTTCTTTTACAAGATCTTCTACATCTCGGCTCCCACCACTGTGCGCATCGATCCGATCCAATCCAAATTCAGGAGAACCGCGGTCCAATAGTGAAAATATCTTAGAATTAAGTAACGTACTAATAGTGTATTCGGTCTGTTTTGGTCGGGTCCAAATGTCAATTCGATCTATTTTTCTTCATTATCTAGAAAATTCATAGGACCAAGGATCGGACCAGATTATATTTGATGATTTTTTATCCGGTCCAAGTCTCTGTTTGGTCCGGTGTGGTCTAGTATAGACCAACCCATTGCCTACCCCTACCAACCAGCGTCCAAACAACTATTTCAGATCATGACAACCCTGATGGTAAAAATCGTTACTCAAATTATTGATTGAATATTCGCCGTTTGAACAAGGGGTTTTACTTAATTATTGTGATTTAAAAACAAAGTTAATATCATTTTGTACTCCTCTAATATGTTAAGTTAACAAATGTAGCTCTTTATTAAATTTTGTAACCGTTAAAGTGATTGCAAAATGACTCAGTTACCCCTCATTTACTTCTAAATAGGGATGGCAATCAAACCCATGGCCGCGGGTACCCGACCGCCCCATACCCAGTCAACGCGGGGAATCCCCGCTTTGACCGGGTATGGGGCGGGTATGGTAAAACCCCCAAAAGGTTTGATGGGTTATGGGGCGGGTATGGTTTTAGCCTCCCCCGCCCCATACCCATACCCATACCCGCCCCACCAAGAGAATTTTTCACATATCAAAAAATACGTGGATTAAATTGTAATCTATCAATGATGATGATGATAACTCAGAAAATAAATAGTAGAAATGCAATTGAGTAACCACCTTAATCAAAACCTAATTCATTTCCCTCAA